AGGTGGGAGGAAGGACAGGTTAGGGAGGCGGGGACGAGCTGGGCTGGTTTTGGGATGCGGTAGGGGGAGGGGAGAATTTGAAGCTTGTGAAATCCCAGTCGCGAAACATTTCAATTCCCCCTCCCTTTCCCATTCCTCAGACGACATGTCCATCCTGGGCCTCCTGCAGTGCCACAACGATGCTACCCGAAGGTTGCAGGAACAGCAACTCATATTCCACTTGGGAACCTGCAGCCCAATGGTATCAATGTGGATTTCACAAGCTTCAAAATCTCCCCTCCCCCTACTGCATCCCAAAACCAGCCCAGCTCATCCCCGCCTCCCTAACCTGTCCTTCCTCCCACCTATCCCCTCCTCCCACCTCAAGCTGCACCCCCATCTCCTACCTAGTAACCTCATCCCACCCCCTTGACCTGTCTGTCCTCCCTGGACTGACCTATCTCCTCTCTACCTCCCCACCTACACTCACCTTTACTGGCTCCATCCCCGCCTCTTTGACCTGTCTGCTTCCTCCCCACCTATCTTCTCCTCTATCCATCTTCTATCCACCTCCCCCTCTCTCCCTATTTATTTCAGAACCCCCTTCCCCTCCCCCATTCCCAGTGTTTATACTCCATTCCATCTGCCTTCCTAGTTACATGCTATACCTGCATGTTCATTTTGTGTTCATGGACACCAAGTTCTCTCAATACCATAGAATACTACTGAAAAAGTAGAATACTGCTTTTCCATTCATGTTGCCAAAGTGGACATCCTCACATTTTTCATCGTACTCCACCAGCATAATTTCTGCCCACTGATTTATCCTAACTATTTTCCTTCGTAGACTAGTGTCATCACAATTTGTTTTCCTATTTATCTTTGTATACTCAGCTAATGTGGCTACAATACAGTCAGTATCTGGTCTTTATTACAGATGATAAATGGTTGAGGTCCCTGCAGCGTACCATTCATTAATGTTTCCCAGCCTGAAAATGGCCCAGTTATCCTGATTCTGTTTCCTGTTGGTTAACTATTCCTAGATACACTAACCGCAATACCATGGGTTCTTATCTTGAGCAGTAATCTTTAATGTGGCACCCTGTTAACTTGTTGTCTTATCTTGATAACTTACCTGCTGCAGCACTCTTATGTTTATATATTCTGTTTCTTCCTGTGTCACCCTGGTTATCCTTCCCCATATCATTACCCTGCTTTGTTGCCTTGTTCTTTCTCTTTAACTTTTCCAAAATTTCCCTTATGTTAACCCTTACCCCAATTATTTAGTTTAAAGTCGTACCTACTGGCCGAATTATACCATTCACAGTACAGTATACTGGTCCTGGCAAGATCCACATGAAGACTGTTCCAAAGGTACAGCGCCCACTTTCCCCGGTGCAGGTATCCCATGAACTGAAGCATACCTCCTGCACCAACCTTTCAGCCACACATTCAAATCTCTGATCTTATTGACTCTGTGCCATTTCGCTTGCAGCTCAGGTATTAATTCAGAGATTATTCTGTGGTTCCTTTTTTTTTAAAACTTTAGCCCCTAGCTGCTCATAATCCCTCAGCAAAACCTCTTTCTTAGTCCTATTCATGTCATTGGTACCGTGTGTGACATGACGACAGAATCTGGATCCTTCTTGTCCCCCTCCCCCTCCCCCTCCAAGTAGTCCAGAGTTGTCCTTAATCCTGGGACCAGGTGGTCAATTCTGCCTTCAGGTCTTGCCCTCTCAGCTGTAGAGTATAATATGGATCCAGTACAACAGCTTCAAAGGGACTGAATGGCCTCCCCGACTCATCTATTCCAATGCTTGGTAAAGATGGTTTTGTTGACTTACACGCAGGAGTGAGAGGCGTCGGACTGCAAGTTGCTCCTCCGTCTCCAGTTGAGCAATCCCATCCATTTTGATTTTGTACTTCCGCATCTGCTCAGTAATCAGGAGCTCAACACACCTGCCAGCAAAAGGAAAAACTGTCAAACACTGAGGCAGGGAGCAGCAAGTAGAACGCAATCAGTAGCTCAGGATCCACTGCACTGTACAGCCAATGAAGGAGTGCCTGTTCTAATGTGGGAGGTGTTGTCAATGGTTTGTGCACAGCAAGAGGCAACAAACATACGATGTGAACACGATTTAGTCATGTTAGCCAAGGGTTAGAAATTGACCAGGATACCAGAGGGCGTTCCAACTGGGGGACGGTTGCAAATGGGTATTAGCTGCTGCAGGGATTGGTAGGTGGAGAGGCATGTTCAACATATCCCCTAAGCAAGTTCTATTTGTGGGGCTCTTGATGCAGTGGTAGTGTCCCAGCCTCTGGGCCTGGAGACCCAGGTTCTAGTCCCATCAGCTCTAGAGGTGTGTATTAACATCTCTGAACAGGTCAGTTAGAAACTATCTAAAGAGATAATGACTGGCACAGGGAGACAGTAGAGCAAGGAGCTATATACATGCGATGTTTTATTCTGCAAGTATATTTATCCCAAGTAAAGACTGGCTTCGGATCCTTTCTACATCAAGTTGTTATCAGGAGCGTATAACCCTTGTTTGTTGTACCAAAATGCAATACCTCGCCTTTATCCACATTGAACTCCATCTGCCATTTTTCAGCCCAAAGATCCATTTGATCAAGATCCCTTTGTAATCTTAGAAAACCTTCTTTACTGTCTACCATGCCACCAATTTTGGTGTCGTCCATAAACTTACTAACCACGCCTTCTATATTCTCATCCCCAATCATTTATATAAATGACAAACAGAAGAGGACCCAGAACAGATCCCTGTGGAACATCGCTAGTGACAGGCCTCCAGCCCGAAAAGCAACCCCCCATCTTTACTCTCTGTCTCCTGCTGTTAAGCCAATCATGTATCCAATTGGCAAACTCACCCTGAATCCCAAGTGACCTAACTTTACTAATTAGTCTACTAAGTGGAACCTTGTCAAAGGCTTTACTAAAATCCAAATAAACAACGTCTACTGCACTGCCATCATTAACCTTTTTGGTAACTTTCTCAAAAAATTCAATCAAGTCAAAGGAGGCCATTCTGCCGATTGTACCTGTGTTAGCCCTTTAATGAGCATTCCAACTAGACCCCCTGCTTCCCAATAGCTTTGAAAATAGACATGTGTGGACAGAATGGAGACTGGGATTGTTTCCTTAAGACAGGGCTACAGTGGGTTTGCAAGCTGAAAGTTCCCAAGCTGGAAATGCTGATGTGGAGATCTGGCCCTTAAGCCCTCTCTCAGATGTTCCTCTTCCAAACCCTGTTCCCCTCTCAGTTTTCTCTGAGGGATTGTGACAATTTTCAAGCCTCAAAATAGGATGACAGTGGGAAAAGGTTTGAGAAGCTCTACACTCAGACACAGAGTATCAAAGGGTGACTTAATCGAGATGTTCTAAATCACAAGGTGATTCTCTCTCTGGTGTTGGGAGTGTCAGTAGCAAGAGGGAATACACATTACAATCACTGACCATACACCAGAGGTTAGGTGAGGAGAACAGTTTTCAATTCAGACAGAGAAAGGGCAGGGAAGTGAAAATATGGATAGTTCTTTGAAAGGTCTGGCACAGAATGACCTCTTTCTGTGCATTCATGCTCCCTGGCTGTCAGATGGTCTGGTGATAGTTGTCCTTACCTGGGCTTCCTGCCCATCACCCACTGCATTGTGGATGAGATTTAATCTGACTGGGCATGATCCCACACCTTAGACTTAGCTTTTCAACTCAGATGTGGACAGTGGAGAACCCTCCTGAGCTCCTATCTCATTGAGGGAGAGAAAAACAACAGGAAACAACACAATTAACATCAGTGGAGGTGATGGCCAAGTGGCGATGTCACTGAGTAGTAATTGAGAAACCCAGGCCAAATGTCCTAGGGTCATGGGTTTGAATGCAATAGGAATCTGGAAGAAAATGCTGGTTAATGGCAATAATGTGATCACTGTTAATAAAAACTCGCCTGGTTCACTAATGTTCTTTACAGAAGGAATGAACAAGTTAAAAAAAAAATCTCAATGGGGTTTTCAGTCAAACTAGCTACCATCACCGCAAACATGCACACGCATGTACAGAGTCAGTGCTGGACACTCAGTCCTCTCTCTCTCTCAACAAAGTTATTTTCACATGGGAACTGGATAAAACTCACATGGTTGTTTTAGAGACGTCTTTCATGCTGGTCAGTGGATCAGCGCTGTCTGGTGAACGAAGAATGCATGGGGCAAAGACGATCGCCAGTGCATTGGGAGACATACGATTCATCTCCTCTAGTACAGCCACTCTGAAACAAGGGAACAAACTCCAATTTCACAACAACTTCAGGCAAGAAGAGAGTTCAAAATTCTACTCACAACAACTGACAGAATCGTAAAACTGTTATGGCGCAGAAGGACATTCAGCCCATCATGTCTGCACCAGCTCATTAAATGAGCATCAACACCTGGTGCCAATCTCCTCCCTCTTTCCCTGTACCCCTGCACACACACTCTGTCCAAATAACCATCTAACGCCCTTCTTGAATGCTCCATTGAACTGGCCCCCACCACATTTCCAGGTCTCACAACTCACTGATAAACAGGTGGTTCCTCACATCGTCCTTACGTATTGTGCACATCACTTTAAGCCCTATGCCTTCTGGTTCTTGTTCCTTTTACAAGTTGGAACAACTTCACTGTAACTGTATGGGGGAGATGATGGCCTAGTGATATTATCACTGGACTGCTAATCCAGAGACCCAGGTCATGTTCCGAGGACCCAAGTTCGAATCCTGCCATGGCAGATGGTTGAATTTGAATTCAATAAAAATCTGGAGTTAAGAGTCTAACAATGACCATGAATTCATTGTTAATTGTCAGGAAAAACCCATCTGGTTCATTAACGTCCCTTAGGGAAGGAAACTGCCATCCTTACCTGGTCTGGACTACATGTGACTCCAGACCCACAGCAATTTGTTTGACTCTCAGATGCTCTCTGGGCAATTAGGATGCCCTCATCCCATGAATGAATCTTTAAAAATTGAATGAAAATGTTATCTACTCTATCCAGCCTGCTCATGATTTTGAATAACTCTAAAATCTTCTCCCAGCCTGTTCAGACTAAGGAGAACAGTCCCAATCTACCCTCATCATTGAAGTTTCTCATTCCTATAACCATTCTCGTAAATGGATTTTTCTGTGACAGGAAGCAGCTAGTTCCATTGGGACTAATGAGGAAAAGGTCTGGTTCATTGGGATTCTGTGTAACAATTGATTAGCAAGTTTGCAGATGACACCAAATTGGCGGAGTTGCAGACAGTGAGGAGGATTGTCAAAGGATAGAGCTGGATATAGACAGATTGCAGATTTGGGCAGAGAAATGGCAGATGGAGTTTAATCCTGGCAAATGCGAGGTGATGCATTTCAGGTACGAATTATACAATAAATGGCAGAATCCTTAGGAGCACCGAGATACAGAGGGACCTGGGCATTCGGGTCCACAGATCCCTGGAAGTGGTAACACAGATGGAATAGCTGGTCAAGAAGGCATCGGCCAGGGCATCGAATCTAAAAGTTGGCAAGTTATGTTACAACTTTACAAACCTTCAGTCAGGCCACTTTTGGAATATTGTGTGCAGTTTTGGTTAGCACACTACCAGAAGGATGAGGATGCATTGGAGAGGGTGCAGAGAAGGTTTACCAAGATGTTGCCTGGTCTGGAAGGGGCGACCTGATAGAGGTCTACAAAATTATGAGAGGCATAGATTGAGTGGATAGTTAGGTGTTTTTCCCCAAGGGTGGAAAGGGCAACTATAAGAGGGCACAGGTTCAAGGTGATGGGGGGCCAGGGAGTTTAGGGGAGAAGTGCAGGGAAAATGTTTCACACAGAGGGTGCCTGGAATGCACTGCCTGCGGAGGTGGTGGAAGCAGGCACGTTAGCAACGTGTACCTTGATAGACGAACAGAGGGATAGAAACTGCATATGGGCAGTAAGTAACGGGTCTAAATAAGGATTAGCAATCAGTGTAGGCTTGGTGGGCTGAAGGGCCTGTTCGTGTGCTGTATTGTATTGTATAACTACTTGCATTTGAACAGTGTCCTTCCCAGCTTCCGAAGAGACTTCCTAAAAACAGGTTAAAATGGAGCTGATTGTCAGACAGGTGACCAGAAGTTTGATCAATAGCAGTTTTCAGGATCAGAGCGAGGTAAAGAGGGAGCGAGATAAACACAGGAAGTCTAGTAGCCACTGTCCCAAGAGGCAGAGAGGTTTAAGGAAAAACTTTTAGAGCTCAAGATAGTTGAAGATATGGCCAGTAGTAATTGCGCAACAAATTCCAGGTGGTGTTAGGCTAACTGGGATGGATGTGCAATCAGATAGACAGCAGAGTTGTTTAAAAATCAGATGAAGCTTACAGAGAGCGGAAGGCGACAGCCTCTGACCAGCAGAATGCAGAATAGTCACACTTCGAGATCACAAAAGCGCAGATGAGGACTTCAGTACCAGATGTACACAGGGTGAAGTTGAGACCGGTGATATTATCGAGACAGAAGAGACAACCTTGGCGATGCAGGGAACATATAGCTGGGTGCTCAGATCAGTCACCGTGACTGAGGGACAAAGGAGGAAGATGAAATTGATGTCAAGGGAGGGAAGATTGTGGAGGCAGAGCTTCAACATTTAGTTTGAAAAACATGCAACTCATCCAGTGCTAGAGATCAGCCAGCACCAAGGTAGTCTAGGGGCGTAAGTGAAGTGGTTCAGAGCTTGTTGGCACATGGCCATTGCAGCTATGGCTGTGGGCAATGAAGTGAAGGAGGCTAAGGGCAGATTCAGATGTAAACGTTCAGGTGTCACGGCTGGAGATGCTCAGGCTATAGTTAAATTTTTAAGAGTGGAACCAAATGAACAGAGTTTCTTTGTACAGTGGAGATGTTTTGAGAGGAGTTTGGTCTTTTGGGAGGATCAGGCAAAGGTTCCATCCATTAATGATCTGACCATGGCAATTATTGGAAAGGAGTTTGATCACGGACTATCAAGACGTTGTCCTGATGGGTAAGCTTCAGTCTGTTCAAATGTGACTGCAGAAGTGAACGGGGAGCTGTACACCAAATCATCCATTGGAATTATGCCGGATGGGTGTGAACAGAAGTTTGGTCTTGACTGGGGCAGTGTACAGCAGGATACATTTCATTAGCACCTCAGTATTGCCTTCCACATCCTGAATGTTACAGAGTGACTGTCAGTTTGAAGTGCTGTCACAGTTGTAAAGCAGGGAAATAATGCGTTACAGAATTGTTCGAAGCTGCACAATGAATCAAAAGATATTTCAGTTTCTTTGAATTTATCAACAGTTTAAGGAGTGCTTTGAGAAATGAGTCCACTGCCAAACAAGGTGGCAGCCTGCCCACATATTGCGAATATCACAATGAGTGGGTAATCAGCTGGGTACAGCTGGTGCCCAGTGCCAGAGGAGCCAACCCTCCTGATTCTGGACCAACACAGAAATTGCTGGAAAAGCTCAACAGGTCTGGCAGCATCTGCAAAAAGAAATCAGAGTTAATGTTTCCGGTCCGGTGACCCTGCCTCAGAACCTCCTTTACTCCAGATTCTGACTCAGCATCAGGAGGGAATCAGATCCCAATGAGACTGAGCAGTGAACAGTCATGAGTCTCAGCTGGATGGAGAGAGGAGCTATGGTTCCTATTGGCAGTTCCTTAATGAATAGTAGGATGTAAAACTGATCAGATTAGAAACCGCCAGTGTGACTATCCTCCAGTCGCAGCCCCTCCACCCAATCCTCTTACCCTCACAACAGGAAGGAGGACACTTGCTCTTGGCCTTCCCAACGTGGGACCATAGTGAAATAGAGACCTTTGGTCTGAGTGTTTATGGTTTGAATATCGACTTTCACCAGGTAGCAGCATGTTCTAAACACCCCATTGCTACTGTTAACCCATTCTAGTGCGCCTCTTACTTGACCAGGTGGAAGATGAGTCGTTCGAGTGTGCAGTAAATGTGACTGGGCAGTTGACTGAGGACACTGTAAACTGCTTGGATCTGCTCTTGTCTTCCAGGGTGCTCTGATCAACAGGGGGAAGGAAAATTAAACACATTAGAAGTTTGCTGCAGTCAATTAGAATCATTTCTAATCATCAGACACTTCAGGATGGATGTCAAGACTATGTAGAGGCTGCAGCGATGATTTAGAATGACATCGGGGAAGACAGAGACTGATCTTGTCAAACAGAAGTTAAAAGGAAACAAAGTCGAATTCTTCAAAACCTCATCCATTTTCAAATGAGTAAATCAGGAGAAAGTGCCCTGAGTCACAGGAGGGTCAGTGATCAGGGTGGGAGGGTAGGGCAGGTTGAAGAGAATCAGTTAGAGAGGGAAACAAGGAGAATGGTTTGAGTTGTATTGATCTGGAACATACTGCCTGAAACGAGCAGTGGGAGCAGATTCAACAGCAATGCTCTGATGGAGTTTGCATGGAGGGGCAGGGCAGTGCAGGGGAGTGCAGGGCAGGGCAGGGCAGTGGGAGCAATATGACAGATCCACCAACTGTCAACAAACACCTCGATGGGACCTAGTACGTCCAGGATTCAGAGTGACCACAAATCACACTCACCGATAGCACGCAGGAAGTCACCATAAAGAGCAAAGGTCATCAGGGGGATTGGAAGTTCACGAAGCCATTGTTTAAGCACCCCGGTAACAGCATGAATATGGTATTTCTCCAAACCCACCGATGTCGGGTCTGAAAGACAGAGGCACAGACAATTCAAACACAATCATGGTCTGCAAGGGTTAGACACACAGTAAAGCTCCCTCTACACTGTCCCCCATCAAACACTCCCAGGACAGGGACAGCACAGGGTTAGATACAGAGTAAAGCTCCCTCTACACTGGCCCCCCACCCCCAGAACAGGGACAGCACAGGGTTAGATACACAGTAAAGCTCCCTCTACACTGTGGGGCTGGATTGGTGTGTGACACCTACCTTGTTCCAGTCTCTGCCGTAATTCCTTCATCTTGTTTGCTGCACCAGATTTCCGGTAAATTCCCTCAGTGTACAGTCCATTCATTTCTACGTATTCCACCAACACTTCCATGACCACAGGCACCGTCTGGTTCTCGTCGGTCAGTCTGCAGACCTCAACACCAAAATGCCGAGAGGCTGCGTCAGGGTCACTCTGAGGATGGGGTGGGAGAGAGGACAGTGAGATTGAGCAGTGTAGCCATAGCTGTGAGAGTGCGCCACGGAGTGCGGGTATGGGGCTGGACTGTGTGGGCAGTGACAGTATGTGAGTAATGCCTCTCACTCCTGGTACTCGAGATACAGGGGCACCATTGCAAACCATACTGTAGCCCGAGAGCAGGCAGCCTCTCACCTGTTGGACAAATTGCTCCTTACATTGCTCACCTTTTGGTTGCAGCTTGATTGGCAGGGGGTCTGAATCTTCAGGAGGCACTTCTTGTGACAAGTCATTTTGCAAGCTAGGAATGGGAAGGGGACAAGCAGGTTATAACTGGTGCAACCCTGAATACTGACCAGAAATATCCGAGACAACCAATCCCTCCCAGTGAGCATCTGTCAGCACTGAAACAAACTTCTCAAGCACCTCTTCCTCCCAACAACAATGCTGCTCCAGTGAACACTGGCTCCCATTGGCTTTAACCAATGAGTAGGCATGAACTGTAGGTTTAATTTACACAAATAATATCCAATGGACTCAAGATCCAAATTACTTAAAAATCTCCTTTTAAAAATTCAAAATTATTTCTCCAGTAAGCTGCAGTCAGTGAAGGACATTTCGACGATACTGCATAGGCCAGTCCCAGTCAGTCATTGCAGCAATGTCTTCAGGGGATTAACAGGAGTCACCAATCAATTCCCATTCAGTACAGGAACACCATCATTACTGGGTGCTGGATCATCTGAATAAGTAAAAGATGCTTCTCTTATTGTCTGACTTGTTCTCGGTGCCAGGAAAACCCAAGTTAACATCTAGGTCAATGTGCAGACACGTTGGTACTTACTGCAACAGAGCAGAACCTTCTCCATGGGCCAGATGTAGGAGGAACACTGCTCACACGACTGCCGGATATTCACTTGGTAACTCCGGAATAAATGCCCAAAGTGCTCCTCCTTCTGAAAAATTCAAACGTCACTGTTCACAGAGCGCCATCACTCACACATTGCTGTCAGTGCAGTGGGTATAGGAGTTGGGAGGTCATGTCGTGGCTGCACAGGGCATTGGTTACGCCACTTTTGGAATACTGTGTGCAATTCTGGTCTCCCTGCGATAGGAAGGATGTTGTGAAACTTGAAAAGGTTCAGAAAAGATTTACAAGGGTGTTGCCAGGGTCGGGGGCTTTGAACTACAGGGAGGAGCTAAATCAGCTGGGGCTATTTTCCCTGGAACAACAGAGGCTGAGGGTGACATTAGAGAGGTTTATAAAATCATGAGAGGTATGAATACAGTGAATAGCTAAGGTCTTTTCCCCAGGGTAGGGGAGTCCAAAACTACAGGGTGTAGGTTTAAGGTGAGAGGGGAAAGATTTAAAAAGGACCTAAGGGGCAACTTTTTCACGCAGAGGGTGGTGTGTGTATGCAATGAGCTGCCAGAGGAAGTGGTGAAGGCTGGTACAATTACAACATTTTTAAAGGCATCTGGATGGGTATGTGAATAGGAAGGGTTTAAGAGGGATATGGGCCAAATGCTGGCAAATGGAATTAGATTAATTTAGGATATCTGGTAGGCATGATGAGTCAGACTGAAGGGTTTGTTTCTGTGCTGTACAGCTCTATGACTGTATGACCATTCACAAACCACTGCCATTCACAAAAATCATCTTGGACGCAGTCATTAATAAATGGAGGAGGGCCCCCCTGCCTTCAAGAGTGACCAATGCTTTAAGGCCCTCAGAAATGGTCATGAGTAGTGTATCTTTATCAAATTAACATTTCATTCTCTCTCTCAGACTTGGTTGTGACCAAATTTAAAGAAACTGGGATGAAGATTTTGATGAATTTTATTCAACGTTTTCAGGGCATCAGAAGCTTTCCCTGAGACTTAGCGGCTCAAAGTTTAATGTTACAAATAATTCTCTCGCACAAACTGTGCTGAGCCAAGACTGACAAAACCAATCCTGATAGAAACCATCATCAAAAGAGAACAGAAACCAGCAGCCTGTGACCTAGTACTCACAATTTGATTGCGTTTCCGCCTCTTCTTCCGGGCTTTTGTTGGCTGTTACGGAGCAAGAGTGAAACAAGACAATGGGTCAATGGATACAAAATAGCTGCTGCTCAGAGCAGACTGATAACGCCAGAAATATTAAAGACAGAAGGTGGTGAATTCGACCCTCGAACCTGGTTCATGACTTTGAGATCTGTACTCAAACCCAATTACTTGCCTTCAGCCCAATATCCCGGCTACCTTAACCCGACAAACACTGATCCACTCCCAGCTTCAATACTTGGGTCACCCCAGCCTCTACGTGGTTTTTGAGGGTGAGATGGTTCCCGATTTCCATTAGCTTTTGTGTAAAGAAGTGCTTCTCAACATCACCTGTGAGGACATGAGCACATGGCCCTGTGGAAAGGCCCATGCACAGAGAGGTGTAGAAAGCCTGACACCCATTCCCACTCCCCAACACCCCCAGATCCAAAGCAGAGTCTGTCCCCCGAGTGGGCCTTCAATCTCTGGATGCCAAATTTCTCCAGACTGAGGCTCAACCTCATTCCCTGTCTGGCTCGGTTGTAAGACCATTAGGCATAACAGCAGATGTAGGCCATTCAGCCCATCAAGTCTGCTCTGCTATTCAATGAGATCACAGCTGATCTGATCATCCTCAACTCCACATTTCTACCTTTCCCCCAGAACCCTTGATTCCTTATTATTTTATTCAGTCAATCTCAGCCTTGAATATAATTAGTGACCCAGCCTCGACAACCCTCTGCTATAAAGAATTCCACAGATTCACTCCCTGAGAGAAGAAATTCCTCCTCATGTGTCTTAAATGGATGACCCCTTATTCTGAGATTATACTCCATGATCCTAAACGCTGCCACATGGGGAAACAACCTTTCTGTATTTCTCTTGTCAAGGGCCCCCTAAGAATCCTGTATGTTTCAATAAAGCCACTTTTTATTCTTCGGAACACCAATGAGTACTGGCCCACCCTATTCAATGTCCTGATGAAACCCCTTCTGCATTGCCTCCAAACGTCAGTCTATCTTTCGTTAGATAAGGGACCTAAATCTGTCCACAATATTCCAGCTGTGCCTTGCACAGTTTTATACTCCATTCCCTTTGAAATAAAGGCCTCCCCTATTACCTGCTGAACCTGGATATGAGTTTTTTTGGGATTTACAAATCCCTTGTACTTTAGCTTTCTGCCTTCTTTATCTCATTTAATAATAATGATGATTTTGGGGGGAGGGGGAATTGGCTCCTAAACTCAACAAATTCACAATGACACCTGCCACATCGACACATCCAGCATGAGCCACAGCACAGACTATTACAGCACATAAAGAGGCCATTTGGTCCATCACACACATGCTGACTCTTTGAAATATCTGTGCTTCCCCCCCCCCCCCCCCCCCCCCCCCCACCCCATCCTTTCCTGCAAAATTGCCTTTCAACTGTTTCCCAAATTCCCTACTGAAGGTCATTATTAAATCGGTTTCCCTTTTCAGGCAGCATGTTCCAGATCACAACACCTCATTGAAGGAAATAACCGCACACTGGGACTGTAGCTAATTACTATAAATACCATAACTCCCTGATTACCAGCCCTCCTGCCGTGGAAACAATTTTGATTTATTTCCTCAATCACAATCTGGATTAAATCTCCCTCCTCCTCCTCTGCTCAAAGGAGAGCAATCCCAGCTGCTCCAAATAACTCACTGCTCTCCACCCCTGGGACCATACAAGGCAATGCTGTCTGGGACCTCGCAAAGCCCTACATTCTGGTGCTCAGAGTTACCTTCATTGCCTCCATCTCCTCTTTCTTGGAGTAACCTCGAGCAAACTCATCAAGCAGGGACTGGAAGAGGTTGAGGACAAACTGCACCTCAGCTTTCTGTCTCTCACCCACCATCTTGGTCAGAAGAAGTTGATAATTCCTCATCAGGTCCTTGTAGCTCACATGGGTCTGACCATTCTACATCGTTCATAAAACAAGGAAGGTTAATAAAAAAAAGAGAAACTACAAGTGACCCCAGTGAGAGTGGGACCCCGTACCCCAGCGAGAGTCAGTGTGTGTGTGTGGGACCC